CTCCTCAATCCATACGCGTTGCACCAAGTGGTGCAGCGCAGTCAACAACGCGGGTCCGCCGTGTTTCAATACTTCAGGCGGGATCCCGTCAGCCCCGCAACACTTGAGGTTTCGCAGCTGAGCAAGTGCTCTCTGCGTCTCATCCAGTGTCGGCGTGTCCGCCAGATTCGCCTTCACATCGTGCTGCTTCAGGCCGTTCAATGTAGGCCAGTCGATCTCTGAACGGTTGTTCAAGAGACAGTCAAAGTGTTTTCGCCAGATCTGCATTATGTCTGCAGTCTGTGTGCAGCTAGCGCCTGAACCACCATCGATGTGTCCTCAGCGGCTCTAATCTCGGTCCATACACCGCCTTCAAGGAGTCATAGAATTCCTTGTGTTGGCAGCGTTCGGCGTAGCATTCCATCTGCTTCGCCTTCTCCGTCCACCATGCATTTTTAATGCGACGGAGCTCTCGGGTCAGTCGCCGTCGAAGTTTGCGAAACTGACTCCTCTTCCCCAAGTCACTGGGGTCTGCAACATGTGCAGCAAATGCTGCCTTCTTCTCCGACACCAATGCGCCGATGGTCGCATTGTTGTCATCAAACCAATCAGGCCGCTTACAGTTTGCGCGCCCGATGGTCTCCTCGGCAGCAGCTGTCACCTGGTCGCGAATGTGGTGCCACAGGTCGCCCACTGTGGCTATGCAGTGCACATCACACAGGCGTGCAGCCATCGCCTTCTCCAGCTCAGTACGTTTCGCCACAGTACCGAGGGAGAGAATGTTAAATTTACGCCGATTCACGGCGGAACTGCAATACATCGATTTACGAAAATATATGGACAGTTTAGTGCACACTAATTTGTGGTCGGTGCCACAATCAGGTCCACGCAGTACACGTGTCATGCGCACTTCACGCAAATCACGCTGACGTACGATGACATAGTCGAGCAGGTGAGCGTGATCACTCCGTGGGTGCGTCCAAGTTGCTACATCACTCGCACTCAGTGCAAACCGAGTGTTCGTGGTCGTCAAGCCGTGAGTGGCACACAGTGAGAGTAGTCTGTCACCGTTCGCATTCGCTGAACCAATGCCATACAGACCGATTACCTCTGTCCACACAGATGCATCACGCCCAACGCGCGCGTTGAAATCACCCAGCAGAAATAGTCGGTCGCTCCTCGGTACAGACCGTATCACGGAGGATAGCTGAGTGTAGAGTTGAGCACGCGTGTCATCAGGATAACACATGGTCGGACCGTATGTGCTTATAAAAGCAGCAAACTTACCTCTTCCGAGTCGTAGGCGAACAGTCATCAGTCGCACGCTAATGCCCGTTGGTTCACCTACCAGCAGCCCATGGAGGCGATCGGATATTGCATATCCGGCCCCATGATCACGTGGTGCTGACGCGGCGTTGCCCACCCACTTGAATATGTATCCAGCACCTGCTTCATGCAACTTACCTTGCTCAGCGAACCGGGTTTCACCGAGCGCCGCAATATCGATGTGATAGCGCGCCAGTTCCATCACGACGAGTGCAGTGCGTCGCTCTGGGCGCTCGCTGGAGTTCCGGTCCAGTAGTGTGCGCACGTTCCAGCACCCGATGCTGAGTGCTTTGCGCGCAGGCATACGATTGCATTGGTGGGCAACCGCAAGCGAAGTGGTCGTTGTGCTTCGGAGGTTTGCTTGAGGGACTCCACCCGGAGCCTTTGGCTCAATAGCCTGAGCCACAAGGCAGTGGGTGGTTTGGAGGTTTGCTTGAGGGACTCCGCCCGGAGTCTTTTGCTCAATAGCACGACCCACAAGGCAGTGGGGAGCAGATCCAGCTCGGGAATGTGATTGCAGAGACACATTGGGATCTGCTTGACGGCCGTCACACGCAGCCTTGGAGGTACTGGAACAATTATCATATGTTTTGCGACCGTAATTGGATACGCACCTGCGACCACGGCCAGACGCAGGTGGGTTTTGGCGGGTTTACACCAATTTGACCAGGAGCTGCCTGGCTTGAGGTGGGCAGTAGCAAATCATTGAGCACCCGGAGGTGCCCTCACATCATCAGAGACAATGCGTGGCGCTCGCGATGTGCGCCAATCGAGCGGTGTGCTTATAAGCTGTTGACCTGTTGTTTCCCACTGCTAGGTTTTACGGGAAGAGGACCATCAACCACTTCCTAACCTCCGAAGAGGATGGACTGAGATACTGGCAGGGCGCCCACACCTGACAGGAGAACGACTCGGGTCCTCAGCCAAAGCCTTCGATTAAAGGAACACCCGAAAGGCAGCAGGTTTAGCACATGGTCAGTTCACTGACTCATGCGGTTTCGTGTCCTGGATCTTAGCAGGGAGAAGGGCGAAACCCAACTCCCACCCAGCGGTCGCCACGTTGAGGCGCTCAGGACATGAGCAATTGGCACAACAGTAGCAGCAGTGGGTAGACCATCTGTCAGGATGTAGCCACCACCAGCCTCAGCGCACCATAGGCTCTCCCGCCATACATACATACATATATATATATATATATATATATATATATATATATATATATATATATATATATATATATATATACTCCAATGCTTGTTGCTGCTGACACTGAGGCTGCGATTGATTAGTTTGTGAATCAACTCCACCGCGCTCTTGGTCGTCAAAAGTCAAGCGACTAGCAATTGACTGAAAGCCTGCAATACTAAACAATACGATCACACCTAGGAAGGTTTGACAATGACCGGTTTTACTGTACTGTAATTGCTTGATCATAAGCCGATATCGTCCACGGAATCCAAAGCAACCAATTTTCTCCCTAGCAAGTCCTTGCTACCAACTAATCCATATTACGAAATTTCACTAAGCAACACTTGCAGGAGTGTTCAATTAAGGTGAATAGAAGTTAGGAAATGGTACGACGCCAGCTGTTGCTAGATGTCTAGCAATTCAGCACAGTAAACAAGTGTAAAGTGCACTCACTGACACTTCGTACCGCGCCGCTCCGCTCCGCTGCCTAAATACGCACTGCCGATGTCACCTTGAATGGCGAGGAAACGTTTTCAGCCAAACTGCCGAACTCAGTGAACATTCAGACCACGGAAAGAGCACAAAATTTCCACTTGGTTTACTGGGACACCTTTCCGACCAAGTACGTAGGAAAGGAGCGGTGGACAAAAGTGTAATTCGACTCTGAAATCTAGGTACACGGTTAGTGTTAATTAACGGTATTCCTCATGTGGTGCATGAACTCCGTCCCTGTCGGTAACCTGACTACTCTTCCCTTATCCGAGATTTCATTTTCACGGTAAGATAGTGAGCCAGAACTGAGTCTGACACTTGTCATTATGAGCGTCAAACTGATACCACTGTAACCGGTACGAGCATTGCGACTTCCTTACATGATCCAACAGGTGGGTCATCTCTTTGCTGAGGAGTGCGCTACCGCACCTAGTTGGCGAGGGCACTAGTGAATCCAAACTCGCAGTCCAATGCAACTAATGACTACATGACTACATTTCGAACCACGGATTGAGACGGAGCTCCTGAATTAACTGGCCATGTTTCAGATTGCACCTCATTGTCAGTAATGCAAGAAAATTTCTCTCTGAAACACTTCGTCTATCTAGCCAGATGATATTCATCGTTTTGAGTCAGAGCATTGTTTCTGGCCCTGCATGCTTCACTGAACCGTGATTCCTATGAACTGTCTGCGCTCATCAGTTAGAAGCGTCTGTAAAAGTCATCCGCCGCTCCTTGCTTTTTCTTCGGGTAATCCTGTTGAGTTCACTATACATCTCGTCCGACTAAAGCGGACTGTTCTAGCTGAAACCTGATGGACCCTCCTCGCGAAGTACTCGATGCTAACGTAGTTTCTTCTTTCCAATTCCGACTGGTTCATCGCTCCCTCCTCCCCCCCCTCCCGGATATCCAACGCTCATTGCCGTGACGGATCGGTCTGTTTTATCAGTCAAGCGTCCATTAGGCGGATGTGGCACGTGTCCCTACATTGTAGCGATTGTAAATACTTTGCTTATTTTTCTTTTTCATGCTTACCTATTTCGCTGCATTTGTTGTATAGCTTTGTTTTAATTAACTATATATACATACGCTTGGTCCCGAGCTTGTCTTTCGTGGTTCTCCCTTGGTTGTCGCTGGATTGTTGTGATGGTGTGCGTTGCTGCCTGCTCTATTCACGATCGGACTCTACGTACACGTTCACTTCGGTAAACCTTGCGATTTACGGTCGTCCGACGCTTAGGCGCATCAGGATATTTTATATGTGAGGTAAACCTGATTGACTGAGTATTCTCCTTTACCGGTTCCTCCATAACACTCGCGATCTGGGATTTTCAAATCGCGATAAAATCTTCCTGCCTGTTGCCTCTGGTTAGTGGGATGTGAAGGCACTTCATTGCTGAATAAACTAGTCACTGTCTGCAGTAAAGTACAAAAGCAACTGCTGGTTTATCGTTCGCTTGCCTCGTCTGGTAGAGGAGGCAAGGCGTCGCGTGAAAGTCACCGATAAACTGTTGATTGAAAAAACTTCGCTGCACTTTTCCGATCAGTGCCAGGATGTTATTTAGCCGTACCCATAAATCCACCTTGTGGACTGTATTGAAGTGCCTCATCTATGCTCTATCCTCGTTAATGATCATGACTCCCTCTTTTGAGCACTTCGAATATTAGTCCATCTCTTCCTATCTATCGCATCACGATTCTGGAATCGTCTTAGGTCTGTAGCGCCTCGCACCACTAGAGATCTTACCACGTGCTCCAATCACTGTTGCACAATTCTCGCACCTTGTGCTATTTCGTCTCTCTCCGGTGGCTTGTCTAACATTTATTGTGTCACATCTCCTATCACCGGTCGTACTTTACCACCGACTGTACATAGCTCATTTACCGGATTTCTCTCACTACAACCTGTGAGATAGCACATCTAACTTTTGAAACTGGAGAATCTGTTTGATTTTCACACCGAGCCCTGTTCTTCCAGCTTTTTTACCTTTGCTCCTTGTCCTCTTCCCTTTCAGTTCCTTCGAGCAGTTGGCTGTAGACTTACAGGCACACTGTTATCGACACGACCCGCTCCAAGCCAAGCGACTGCTTACCTACGAACTTCACGCATTCTCCAACAACACTTGCCTCAGTCTGGCCTATATGTGCGAATCGAAGGAATTCATTGGTCACGTATGTACGCAATCCATCCTGAATGACCTTTGGTATGGTGGTCTGCGAAAGGGGAAGTTTGTCAGTCTGAAAGTTGCTCTACTCTTGATCGGGATGGCTTTTCCACCTTTTTACCCTTTCATTGCTTACTGCTTTTCTACGCGGAGCAAGTTCCTCGAATTCAAAACGAAAGAAGAATTGGCTCAACAGCCTCAGACTTTGCAGGAATATCTCAATGATTTGGAGGATAGTTCCTCATCCAGTTCTTCATCCTCGTCGTCTTCGTCGTCCCCATCGCCCACTACACGCTCCAAATCATCTAGTCCGCGATCGTCTATGTAAGCTGCAAGCTGAAATGTTCCTGGTCCTCTGGTTTTTACTAGTTGGTTAGCTGAGCCAGTGGCTTTTGATCTTGCACGCACCCAAATTGCACTTCAAGACCAGTGTGACTTAATACAGTTAGCATTTGAGTTAGCACTCTTAGCCGTTCGAGCACCCAGATCCGCGCGCAACAGTTGTATTGACGATAGAAAGTTCAGCTGAGTTGTGTAATTTAGACATCCTGAGTAATTACGCCTCGATATATCTTCTCGCTTGGGATTGTCTTGTTTTTTTGGTTTACTTGTGGCCACCTATCTCACTCTAATGGAGGGGCCTTTTTGTCCAAAGTCTCTATGGCCTGGCTGACTGCGGTACTTTCCATACTTCTGCGGAATATCTACTACTGTGAACCATCAGGGATCTAATTACACTCAGCCGAGTGTTGTTGTTGTGTAAATGAACATTGCATGTGCAGTATTGCTCAACAAAAGTTTAAAGTCATCCAGACCTGCATCACCTAGAAGTTATGTCTTCTCCACCGTCATGCTCCCCTGGAAGACCTAGTAATTTGTACTCACTTATTTTGACTCGTCTTCAGTCACTTACCTCCTGCTTAATCTGCACCGATGTCGATTCTGATCAGCCGCTATGAATGATTTGGTGGCTTCTGCAGTATTATTCTTTTGGGTTAGCTCGTGGTACAATCACTGGACAGAAACCTACAGACTTCCAAGGCAAACTTGAAGAAGTTAGGGTTTGTTAGTCTACGGCGAAAATTTTCGAACTAGCAATATCTCACTGAAGTTTGAGTATCTGCTCATTTACCCTACATTCTTAATTGTCTTTAGTTTCTTTTTTTCACGCAGCTTTATCAGTGCTACCATCCCCACGGTCTCCCAGGGTGATAGTGTCGGTGGTGGTGACGCGCCGGTGCGACACACAGACCGGATAAGTGAGGTTAGTACATCAGGGCGCAAGTCATAGCCTTTGTTTCTTTTTGCCATATTTTCTCCTTACTGCCTAAGTGTTGCTCAACCTAGATATAGTCCAAGGATTTAAGTTACTTGTCGTAACGTTCACCATCTTACCCTCATCAATCAGCATCTAGAATGTGAGGATTCCAGCTCTGGATGCAGGGCCCAGTGAACCGCAACAGATTGTTCGACCCCTAAACTTTCTCGCTTCTAACGAACTAAACAGCATTCTATCCTTAGCTATTCATTTTTTTTGTCTGTCTAGGCCACTTGTACTTAATGACTTCGTGCACGGCGATACCGCTAGTTGACAAGCGAGAGCAGCGAACGATGTTAGAAAACCATATGCAAACATCACCTCCCTCTCCACTGGCGACCCCAGTTCATCGCTTACGGCTGTAGTGGCAATCGTGTATATCAAATTCCACTATTACAATATCATTCATCCTTTAACACCCGAAGTCCTCGCATTCCCAGTTCCCGTCTCTTTTCAGTTCCACTATGATATGACACGTAGTCATCAGTGCAAAATAATCGATGCAAATACGTTCACTTATGCTCATGAGAAACTTGCGAACGGACTAACAACTTTGGAACATCCGAACGTATCACTGCGTTATGTTTTCGGTCCCTAATGGTGATCTTGATTTCGGCTTACCTTCCTATTTTATCATTGACGTATTTCTCCCACGTTGCGCTCCTTGATGGACCCAGCTAGTATCCAGCTTGACAACTATCATCCATAAGAAGACGAACACTAACAGATGTCAACATTTCGTATTGTTTCTTCAGTGGCAACACAATAACATGAAATTATGTAAGACGACAGGTAGGGTGATACCGAAACAAGGTAGAACAGCGTAGGGGGCAGGCATGACACTCTTACGCCAAGGGCAGCCTTAGGTTTACGAACAACTGTTTCTGCACACAGAGTGTAAGTTTCATACGGCTGATCGCGACTGCCTCTGCGAAACGTAGGAAACGGGCGTTAGCATGTCTCAACACGATTGTAAACATTTCGGCCGGATACAACTGATGACAGGTGGCCAGTAAATGCCTTCCTATGGATGAAACAGGTGGCTTACGTGAACTGGTTTTATGAGCAACTGATGGCTGGGTGATTTGACGCTGCAACCATGTAGGTAGATGTTCCCTTAATCTGGAGTTCAACAATCTATTGGTACGGCCGATGTAATGTATATCACAACTACAGGTAAATTGGTAAATACAATGTGAGTTGGCGTCAATAGGTTGCCTTTCCGTCATTGAGGTAACAGGTATTCGATTAGTCCGGTTGGTAAGAACAGTTTCAGCAACATAATAGGTCCTCTGGACTGCGGAAATTATACGCTTCGTTGTCCTCATATTGGCAAAATCACCATTAGATGATAGCTCGATGTAAACTTCTTTTTAGACACTGTCGAAACCTTCTGTCCTGGCACCCTCGCCTGACTATGTTTGTCGATGAATCTCCTTGGATAAGCATTTGTCAGCAGCGTATCCTTGAGCAAGTTTATCTCATCATCTAAACTGTCGGTAGTGCGTATTTTTCTTGCACGGTTGAATAGTGTCTTGACTAAGGTCCGCTTGTACCGCATTGGGGAGAAGATGGTAAAGTACAGGTACTGCCCTGATCGAGTCGGCTTTCGGTAAGCCTCTCTTTTGATAGACCAATCTGCTCTTCGGCAAATCAACACGTCCAGATATGGGAGGCAATTGCTTTTCTCTGTTTCGCTGGTTACTTTCAGATTCGTATGCACGTTATTCAGGCGATCGACCAGATGCGCGATGTGCTCCTCTGATGGGCTAAACACTAAGATATCATCCACATACCGCTTATGGTAGAAATGAAGCGATATTTCTAAGCTCAACTTCGTTTCAATCATCGACATAAAAATAATCTGCTAGCACTGGGCCACCCCATCTATCTGGCGATAAGGAATGTTTTGGAATTGGAAAGCGATGTTCTCAGTGCATAGTAGTAGGCTGTCCTTCAATAATTCGAGTGGCATTGGAAGAGTTAGATCCGAGCATTATGCCATTTCACACACATTATCAACTGTTTTATGTAGCGATTGTACATCCAATGTGGCCATGAATTTTCGGATAGGTCAAATTCATGTAAAGCCACAGTAAGCTCGAAAGAGTCCTTCAGACGGTGTGGGATAGTCTGCCGCTTCAAATACTCAAGAACTTCCACCAGCCAACGATCTAACTTACGTTGTGCCGAGTTTGCCATTGACAAGATTGATCTAAGTGGTAAACCACAATTAGGTGTCTTCAGCAACCCAAATAGCTGAGGTATGTTGGACCCTCCCAGTTTTAGGCTCATCATCTTGAGCCGTTGAAGCGACAGACCATCCCACACCGTCTGAAGGACTCTTTCCAGCTTACAGAGGCTTTAGATGAATTTAACCTATCCGATAAATGCATGGCCACATTGGATGTACAATCGCTACATGAAACAGTTGATTATGTGTGTGAAATGACATAATGCTCTGATATAACTCTTCCAACGGCAGTCAAATTATTGAAGGACAGCCTACTACTATGCACTGAGAATATCGCTTTTCAATTCCAAAACATCCCTTGTCGCCAGATAGATGGGGTGGCCCAGTGCTAGCAGAATTTTTTATGTCGATGATGGAAACGAAGTTGAGCGTAGAAATATCGCTACTTTCCTACTATAAGCGGTATGCAAATGATAGCTTAGTGTTTAGCCCATCAGAGGAACACATCTCGCATCTGGCCGATCGCCTGAATAACGTGCATACGAATCTGAAAGTAACCAGCGAAACAGAGAAAAGTAACTGCCGCCCATATCCGGACGTGTTGATTTGCCGAAGAGCAGATTGGTCTATCAAAAGAGGTTTACCGAAAGCCGACTTGATCAGGGCAGTACCTGTACTTTACCAGCTTCTCCCCAATGCGGTACAAGCGGACCTTAGTCAAGACACTATTCAACCGTGCAAGAAAAATACGCACTACCGACAGTTTAGATGATGAGATAAACTCACTCAAGGATACGCTGTTGACAAATGCTTATCCAAGAAGATGCATCGACAAACATAGTCAGGCAAGGGTGCCAGGACAGAAGGTTTCGATAGTGTCTAAAAAGAAGTTCGCATCGAGCTATCATCTAACGGTGATTTTGCCAATATGAAGACAACGAAGCGTATAATTTCCGCAGTCCAGAGGACCTATTATGTTGCTGAAACTGTTCTTACCAACCGGACCAATCGAATACCTGTTACCCCAATGACGGAAAAGCAACCTATTGGCGCCAACTCACATTGTATTTACCAATTTATCTGTAGTTGTGATATACGTTACATCGGCAGCACCAATAGATCGTTGAATTCTAGATTAAGGAAACAAAACGGTTGCAGCGTCAAATCACCCAGTCGTCGGTTGCTCATAAAATCAGTTCATGTAAGCCATCTGTTTCATCTATAGGAAGGCATTTACTGGCCACCTGTCATCAGTTGTATCCGGCCGAAATGTTTGCAATCGTGTTGAGACATGCTAACGCCCGTTTCCTACGTTTCGCAGAGGCAGTCGCGATCACCCGTATGAAACTTACACTCTGTGTGCAGAAACAGTTGTTCGTAAACCTAAGGCTGCCCTTGGCGTAAGAGTGTCATGCCTGCCCCCTACGCTGTTCTACCTTGTTTCGGTATCACCCTACCTGTCGTCTTACATAATTTCATGTTATTGTGTTGCCACTGAAGAGACAATACGAAATGTTGACATCTGCCAGTGTTCGTCTTCTTACGGCTTTATTCAAATTAATAAAGGGATCTAATTGTTTCAACTTTAGTCCACGCAATTAAGAGCGCTATATATGGTTTCTCTGGCTTGCTTTCTTGCGGTATCGAGCAGAGAAGGAGTTCACTGCAAAGAGACTTGCTAGCCTAGAGGTATCGAAGGATCACTGGAAGGCGGTGTTGACCATCTGAGTGATTAGATAACAGTTAGAGTAAAGAAGTCGGGTGCAGGGGCGCCGTGGATTCTCATCCCTTCTAGGTCACCGATGTGATAAATTCGGAAGCCTCAACTCGGGGGTGGGACCTATCATTTTGACCGATTCTCTTAGTCGATTTCTTAATGTCACGCTGTTAGTTGCTGTCAGAAAGGTTCATTTCCTACAGCTCTGTGAACCGCCTGGAAATGGAACACGCACTAGCCAAGTACATGTTATCCAGAAAACACGTAACGGCGGCCTGAGCTCAGTGAATGGAAAGGTATTGACCATCTTCGATTAGTCGATCATCACAATTTCGGATCACCTGTGTCAATAGATTGCAACTCAAGAGTACTCTCTGTTTGTTATCAGATGGGTGGGTGATTCTCGCAGTAATACGCCGCGGTAAACCATCATTAGTATTAACCTCTTCGGCGTCGACGACAGCGTGCACCGAGATAGGTAGGTAGCTGGTTAGCACACGAAGAATGGAAGCTACTGTAAACACTTCCCGATGCTGCAACGGACTGTTTTGTTGCCAAGCCCCAACGGATGGCTTTCAACACAACTTATACGGTGATGTAGCCCTTACGAGAATGTTTTACAGGGGCCAGTGATGAAAGACGACTGCCGTCTTACTCTGCTTAACTCCCAATACAAACCTATTTTGTACAATAACTCTGATCAGAATACAGCATTGTACATCCAGAAGTTAATCGGCAAGCTGAACCGTATAGCAATGCTTAAGGCGCTTTTGCTAACCGTCCCCATCTATGGCGCTGGCGCGACATCACTCTCGCCCTGAAGGGTAGAGTGTTCAATGTTCCCGTACGTTCGACCCTACTGTACAGTTGTGAAACCTGGCGCCTTAGATCAGCCGACAGCAGAGGATAGTTACGTTCGACCATCGGCTCACATCTGGTGGAAACACCGCGTGAACAACGAGCGTGTTCGACCCCTAGTTTTTGGCACTGGAAAAGAAAAAAACCGCTCAGCACCGTTATTTCACGCACCAGCCT